TCAAGAGACATGATATGAATTAAGAACATAATAGACACGGAAAAAAAAAACCAAAAGTCATAGATAGACCAAAAAATTAAATTTCTACTTTGATGGAGTCGCATGAAAGATTCACTAAAAACCTTTGATTGATTTTAGCTAAATATTGAACAACATCATGTTATTATTTTTGTTGTAAACACTTATTTACAAATAATAAAATAATATTTTAACTATTTATTAATACCGCATAACAAAAATATTTTCAGTAATTATTTATAGATTTTGATGGTGGTAGAATCTATTTGGAATATTTCATGTTTATGGGTATTATCTTTTGAAATATAACATCTTATCATTTATATGAGAATTGATTTTCTATAGCCACTAATTTTTTATATGTTATGTAAATATAATTTCTATACAAAATTGAGTATAATATTAGGCAACTACAAAATTTATTATAATATTTTTGTTATAAAAATCCGTTGATAATGTTTTTACAATTTACTATTCGTGATTAATTCTTTTTAAATTTTGAAGTTGATTGTTAATTTAAAAAAGAAGATCTGAAAATTATTCTAAGTATTTTATTTGTAAAAACCGGAATAATATTTTTTTAAAGAAAATAAATGTTGGAATGGTTGTTAAATTTAAACAACTTTTCGAAATAGAAATTATAATTTTTGAACTTTATTATGGTAATTCAATTTGTGTTAAAATATTAGTTAGATATTTAAGATGTCATCTTTTTTTAAAAACATGTCTTCATTTTCCTCCAATAAAATTAAAACAAATAAGTATTCTCACTAATTGTACTTCATATCTTACTTTGTTTTATTGTGTGCAAAGCACAGGCTCAGTGAAATAACAAGACCACGTTCGTGAAACACTTTCTCATCTTTTCTTTTGGTCGGACAAGGAGATATGATACATAACACGGCTTTATTCTGTTCTAAACATAATAAACATTGCAAAATACTTTCAGAATCAGTCATTCCTTAGCAATCCGAACGACCTGTTTACCAATATTTGTCCCGGAAAATAGTCCAACAAGTGCCGAAGGAACGAGCTCGAGGCCTTCAGACATATCTTCAATGTACACAATCTTCCCTTCCTTGTAATATCCTTTGATATGTTCGAGAAACTGTGGGAAAATATGGAGGTAATCGCTCTGCAAGAATCCTTCTAATCTTACACGTTTGGGGATTGCGTTGTACAGGTTGTTGATTCCTTGCGATGAGCTAGAGAGGCTTTGCAAAGACACCATTCCGCAGAGCGCGATTCTTCCACGGACCTTCATGTTAAGAAGGGCTGCATCAAGCATGGATCCACCCACATTGTCAAAGTAGATATTGATCCCCTCGGGGAAATACCTGTTAGTAAGATATTCAAAACATTTCAGATTGGTACTTTTGTACCACTTATGGGACATTTTAAAGCATAGTGGGGATTAAATCATATAAGCCGATAAGTTGCTTCATAAGAGACAGGACAAACAACTTCCTGAAATAATTTCAGCAAGTGCGTGAAAGAGCGAGTGAATCTAGGTAACTGATTCTTTAGGCTAAATTTTGCAATGTGTTTACCTCCTCAAAGCAGCATCAAGATCAGCCTCTTCCTTGTAGTTAAAGGCTTCATCAAACCCAAGTTGGTTTTTAAGGAGATCAACCTGAAATATGTCCACAAAGGTTACTTTACAAGGACAAGTGACTAAGAAGAATTCCTGAAGACTAATTAATAATAAATAACCTTTTGGTTACTACCGGCGCTCCCAACAACATAGCAGCCGTGCAATTTAGCTAGCTGACCAACAAGTTGTCCAACTGCCCCTGAGGCCGCAGAGACAAAAACACTCTCCCCTTTCTTCGGTGAGCAGACCTCATAAAACCCTGCATATGCTGTAAATCCAGCCATCCCTGTAAAAGGTGATTGATATGGAAATTATACAACCAAAGAAAGTCAGAGATTTTTTAGATCAAACAAAATGGATTATTGCTCGTGTGCTAAACAGAAGATGGAATGTACCAAGAAGTCCAAGGTGATAAGAAAGTGGAATGTCATCGTCTAACTGAATCTTTCTCAACTGCAGGTCATTTGAGCTACGAAGCAAACTGTACTCTTCCCAACCAGTAATCCCACAGATTAAGTCGCCGGGATGATAATCACCGTCATCCGAATCTATCACCCTTGCTAACCCGAACCCTTCGATACGCTGCATCAAGATTAGAAAAACTATCAGTCGCTTAGTCTTAGTCTGTTCATTATGAGGTATATCAATGGAAAAGTCCAGCCAAGAAACATCAATGAATGTGAACATTTTGCCAGTAAAATAAGACAAACTTCCCAGCAGATTTGTATACACTATCACCAGCTCCGGCAAAAAGATCGAACACGTGGTAGGCAAAATCTCTCCATTACCCCCGAAAACAAACTCAACCTATTCCTCCTCAATACTGAACAGATTTGAAGCCTCTAAAGAGGAAAGACAGTAACCAATCACAGATTCAATTGCCAAAAAGAACATGGGTGTAAAATATACTTGACCAGGAACAAAAGGCGGGAGATAGGAAGAGTGAAAATCGCGCATACGACCCCTCATGTATGGATCGCAGGACAAGTAGAGATTCTTGACGAGGAAAGAAGAAGACCCTTTTGGTGCCCTAAGCTCAATTGTCTCCCCGACCTTCAATTCCATGTCTGCTTCTGTGGGAATGCCCTCTATGTACTTGCTCAGTATCACTTGCTTGTTCTCCACCACTGCAACTGCTTCCATTTCTAATTCTCAATCAAATTTGTGAACG